CCTAAAGTGAAATTACCCGTCGATAATTGTTGCGACCTCCGTGGACAATCACTCCCAGGATACAACAATCGTAAACCACTTGTGCAGCAATCACGAATGATTTTTCTAGAACTCTCAATTGTACTCCAAAATATATGTAAAAATTCGAGTATAAAAAAACCAGAATGTGAAAATGAAGGATTGATACAAGAGGATTTTTCTATTTTCTTTTTTGTGTGTATTTTTCCCAAAATGATATATGGGTTTATATAGGTGGGATGGAATTAACAGTCTCCACTATGATCAGAGATTAATTCAGAATTTTAATGACTGAGTAGTGGGTATTTTGATGACTATTAGTGGGTTGTTACAAAAACAAACAGTCAGAAAATATTGGCTAGTTTTACCCATTAAATAATAAAAAAAATTATTTTAGTCAAGGAAGTCCAAGAGCCCAAGGCCCCAATCAAGACATTTTAATATTTGCGTGGCGAGTGACTCGAACCCCTGACGTCTCACACAGATGTCACATTTCCCACCATTTTGAAACTTTATCTAATTTGATTATTTCTTTCACATTTTATATTTATACCATAAATATATAACAGTTTGTGCTGTTTTTCAAAACTCACGAAGACATGGAAAGTGAAAGATTAAATTTTTTCATTTGATTGAGATAAAACGCTAATAGTTTATTAGTCCTATAATCCTATCTAATGGTAAAGAACAAAGGGTTTACTCAATATTGACGAGACCTCTTGCTCACAGCTCGCTAATCTTATTAGAGGTGAAAGGCCTTGTACAACCCTCAAGCGATTTTAAATTTTCACAAAACTTGCCTCCCGAGGGTATAACCCAGTGGTGCAAAGGATAGGAGTGAGGTAGTTTCAGCCTTGCTGGTACCCGCAGTGTGAATGTTCGATTCCTGAGGTATGAAATTGGACTCCTAGTGGGCACCAGTGTACGGACAAGCTCTTGTTCCCTGGTTTGTTAGGGTACATCCCACGATTTACCTCACTCACGATGTTTCAGGAGAGGGCGGTGGGGACTCTCAAGGTTGGAGTTCAACCTTTTTAAATTTTCAGAATACTTAAATTTCAATACTATCAAACTACATGTGGATTATATAGATGACCTAATGGATCTTCATCCAAGCTCTAATGAGGTAAAGCCAAACCAAATCAACTTTTCGTCTAATGAGTAGAAGTAATTGTTTTTGAATTATTTCACAAAATGATTGAAAACTCCACAATCGAATATGTGCTAAGCTTACAAGCTCGATTGATAATCAGAAGAGCTAGAACCTAATATCGACAATTATTAGAGTCCATAGCCCCATTCAATTAAATATCTACAATTGAAAGGTAGTTATATTGACATCATAATTTTGTTCTGTTGCACAACCTTGGTGGTCATATAAGATTAGTGGTGTCAACAACCTGAGCCGACTCGCGAGCCTAAACTCTAGATTTGGGCTCGGCTAGAGTAAAATGTTTTAAGCTTTTTTGCGAACCCGAGCCAAGCAAAAAAATCAAGGCTAGGGCCTTACCGAGCCGAATAGGCTCAAATTTTTTTTTAATAATAAATAAAGGCAATAGTACGATGCGTTTTATAAGCCAGCGTGCTGCAGCCTTTATATATATATATTTATTTATTTATTTATTTTTTGAAATTAGGCCCGCGAGCCCAAGTCGATGAACTACATGGGCCGACTCAAGCTCGGCCCAGCACCCCAAGATGGTGTTGAAAAATGTTATGAAACTGAACAAAGTGACCTAAAGTGGGACAAAATTAAAATATAATGATCCAATTGACATAAAATTAAAGCAGGCCGACCAAATTGGCAAAAACACAAAGTATCGTGATCCAATCGATACAAATTAATTTATAACGACTCACGAAAGAAATGAACCAGATAATTTTCTTATTTTATTACAGGTCAAAATGTCATGATTTTGTCACACAGCATATTTTTATTAATTCATTTCAAACCTTTATTACGGGCATTTAATAGTTTTGCGATTTTCCATTGTTGGGCATGATCTCGAACAGTTGAAGGCGGCAGCTCAACTATGAATGCATTTAAAGCCCATAACCGCTTGGATGGCCTACTAATGGATAATGTAGCCTCCAGAACATAGTTTAGTGGTGCAAAAAATAGGAGTGGGGTTATCTCATACCTTGCTGACAGTCACAGTGTGGGGTTCGATTCCTAAAACATGGAATTAGACTCCTTGTAGGTATAGTGTACAGGTAGCTCTTGTTCCCTGGCCTGTTGGGGTATACCCCGCGATTTACCTCCCTCATAAAACTCTAGGGACGGGACGGGACGGGGCGGGACAGTAGGGACCCTCAAGATTGGGGTTCAACCTTTTTTTTTTTTTTTTTTACTAATAGATAATGTACTATTGATGTGGACGTGTTCTGTAATGGTCAAAGATTGCTTGCTACTATATTCTATAATTTTATTATCAAACCTATATATCTTGCTTCATAAATCTCAGAATAATATTATCAATATTATCTAGCATAAGTCATAATAGATTATCAATTTAGATAGTCATACTTAATAGGTTAATTAAATGAGTCATGTCACAATACAATTAAGTGAATCGATAATTTAATATCATGTAGTTGTCAACTAGATCGATACTAAATAGCATTATTCTAAACTTCACTCTATATACAATACACAAACACAAATAGACTGCAATTTTAAAATATGCACATGTTTGGCAGAAATGAAACTGAAAATTTTAATTTAATTCAAATTCAAAATCAACAATTAATTTTAATCACATATTTAAAGAGATTCATAACTTTTTAACTCACATTCCATTAATTTTTATCGAAATCTACGAAAAATCTATTCTTAATTTCCAAAAGAAAAAGAAAAAGGGCATATCCACTTGTCTCTTATGACTTCTGACTTCAAAATGCAGCAGGTAATGCAAGAATTTGACTTTAGCATTCAAATGGAGGCCATACTTCACCATTCTGGACACTTTTGGTAAACCAAGAAGAAATGGAAAACAAAATCCTCTTTATAAATTGCTCTCACTCATAACCCTTAATTTGCAAACAACATTGCAAATTTAGAGCTCTTCAATTTTCAAATATAGTCTAAAACCATGGCCCTAAAAACTTTGTTGATGTTTCTGTCTGTTTCTATAATGGCAACCTCATTTTCAGAAGCCCAAAATCCACTAGGCATAGTACATGTCAATGGAACTCTATATTGCACCATCAATGGTGGATCTAATGGCCCCGCAACCCCAGTTTTCACCAGTAAGTTGCATCAGATTTCAATATGAAAGTCCCTTTTTAACATGTGTCTATTTCTTTACGTGACTAATAAATAAATTTATAACTTTTAGACGAGACAATTTAACTATGTGATGCTAACAAGAGTTGAGTGTATTTTATACAGGTGCTTCAGTGCAACTTGAATGCCAGCCTGCAAATCTGGTGGTAACGTCAAGTGTAACAACAAATGCAGCTGGAAGGTACGATGTAACAGCGTTACCTGGAAATGCAACACTAAATGCAATACTGTCTTCTTGCAATCTAGTTGTCAACACGCCTCTTTCCAGCTGCAATGCAAATCTGCCGTCGACTGGACGCCTCATTTCGCCATTGCAGTTTGTGAAAACAGTTCCTGCTGGCTTTTTAAGGGTCACTTATCTAATTGCTACCGGTTTTCAGATCATCTAATTAATGCATCCAATGGCTGCCTCTATGAATAAATCATGAGATTGTTACGCAACTCTTTCTTAAAAGTTTACAGGATTTTTTTTTAATGGAATAATGTTACTAGAAATTAATCTAAAAGAAATAAAAGATTTTTGTTGAATACAAATGTCACAACTACGTTACCTTCCATCCCAGAAATCGATGAGTTATTGTTCATATCTTGGATTTCAAATTTGAGATTGCAATAGGAAAAACCTACTTAATGGATACAAATGTGGCGACCCATCAAATCTATGTTATGGGTATATTTGTACAGAGGGCGCGGGGGGGGGGGGGGGGGGTTAATTCCATTAAGTCCAGATTACATGATTTTAAAAATTGAGATCCTCACTTGATAAACACAAGTTGTAAATGAAACATTAACAAATCACAACAACAATATATAGAAATAGACATAAATGTATTTCTTAATTATCAGTGCCTACGAAGAGCAACAGCAGAAAGCATGACGAGGAATATGAAGATGACTGCTGCAATGAACGAAGCCACCACTGCGCCGCTAACACGCTGGCAGAAGTCAGTGAACTGTTGACAAATTGCAAACCAATTTGTGTTTGAATTTCCATTGTGGGCTAGGTACACAATGGCTGCAGCCGAGGCTGCTGCAGCTGTCGTAAAACCCACCAGCACCTGCACAGAATTCATGATTTCGTAACACATATATATTCATTCTGAAATCTAAAGATAGAAGTTGTAAAGACAAGACACGTTGACTTAAGTACTATAATATTATAGTATGTTTGGTACATTAGAATGGACTGATTTGTCTATGTTTAAATCGTCCATATACTAAACATGCCTTTAATTACTTACTGTATCGAAAATGAGGAGGAGAAGCTTTGCTCCTGCAGCATGTGGACGAACAATGCAGACGATGGAGAAAGGCAGGGATAGTACCAAGTAGCCACTAGCAATAGCATTTGCCACCACAAAGAACCTGCACTTAAATTACTAGTTCAAAAACATGCACTGCAAGAAAACTCACCAGAAAAAATAGAACATCGGTAAATGAAAGTGAAGAAAATGAACTTACATGAAAGTTGGGAGGTCATCGTAGCTGGCCTGGAACTGGAAGAATTGTGTGAAGAAAGGAAGACTTTCATCACTGGTTCCCATGGTGGTTGTTGCAGCTAAAGCAGCCACAAGTGCACAAATTCTTAATATAAAGTCGAATATAGAAATGCCTCTCTTCCATCCACCTTGCCGATATGGAGTTGCCTTTGTCATAGCAGTATAAGTTGCAGGAGCCTTGCCTTTGCCGGATTTGGACTCGGTGATGTTAATTTCTGTTTCGCCACTGCTCTTTGTTGAATCCATATTCAGACAAATTGTTAATTGTAGGAAGATGACAAGAAAATTGAATGCTTAATTTGTGATGGAAGAGAGAACTGATGAATTATGAATTATATAGGCAAAAAAGAGAGGAGCAGCAGTTGACTAATGGATTAGTTCACATATCTAATAATATTCTGTGTGTTGCGTGAAGGTCGATTCTTGAACCGAATTGATTTTACAAAGGTGGGATGGGATAGAGGAGTTGTTACTAACTTGCTCCACCTTAACAAAGAATTAGGACTGTACAATTTGCATTCATAAGTACATCATTCGACAATAATACATTAGCAGCCTGATTCTCTAGCCATCCACGTCCAAAACAATCTGTCACTTTTTCAAATAAATTTAGAGTCAACTACACAGGTTCTCTGTTGTTACTTTTTTCGATTCTGTTATTATATTTATTGGAAAAATCATATCAACTAAATTGTGCCTATCCAAGAAGAATTGATCTCATTGTACAAAGTTTGCTTACAAACTAAGTGTTGACAAGATCTAGGTTAAAAACAATAACAAATCTTTTTTCTCATTTCAAACCATAAATGAATATGGATCCTTTTAAAATGATATATATAAAAATTTCTTCTACAACATTTTATTCATTTTTTAATATTTAATAATAGTATTCTTGTTGATAATACTGTAAAATAAAATTATGCCTATATTATAGGACTTACATAAAAGGGAGGAAGTCAAATATGGTGGTTTGATATGATTGATAACGGTCATATTTTTCATTTTTTTTTACCAAAGCATGGAAAACAAACGAGGCCCATATCTTATTCAAACATGAATTCTAAATTAAACAGTCCACTTCCCTCCACCTTTTATCCATCAATTAAACTACTTATACAAAGTAGTTTGACAAAAATGGTTGATAAAGTGTGTGTTGATAAGATCAAGGTCAATAAATTTTGTTGCTTTCAAAAACTGTTTTTGAATTGAGTGTTTTAATTTTGCCAACAACCAATTAGTTAACCTTTTTTGTAAACATATTTTGTAAGCATAGCATCACTCTTTATCCATATATTAGCTCTCTCTGTTTT